TGACTCAGGAAGAAATAGAAAATCTAAATTGGCACCTAACAAGACACAGAATAAGTAATCAAAGAAACTATACACAAAGAAAATTTCATGCCCGAATAGCTTTACTTATGAATTCTACCAAATATTTAAGGAATTAATACCAAATATTCATAAACTCTTCCAAAAAATGGAAGAGAAGGGAACACTTTCCAACTCGTTCTATGAGGCCAGTATTGCCCTGACAGTAAAATTAGACAAAGATATCACAAGAAAACTATAGACCAGTATCTCTTATAAATATAGATGCAAAATTCCTCTACAAAACACCAGCAAACTGAATTCAGCAACACATAAAAAGCATTATACACCAAGACTGAGGGGATTTATCCTAGGAAGGCCAAGCTGGTTTAATATCAATTAACATAATATGCCATTTAATTAACATAATATGCCATATCATAAAATAAAGGACAAAAACCACATGATCATCTCAATACATGCAGAAAAAGTATTTGACAAAATTAAATACCACTTTGTAATAATAAAAAAAAATCAATCAACTAGAAATAGGAGTGTGTTTTCTCAAACTGATAAAGAGCATCTATGACAAAGATACAGCCAATATAAGACTTACTGGTGAAAGATTGAATGCTTCTCCCCTAAGATCAGTAACAAGACAAGGATGGCTACTCTTGCATTTCTATTTGACATTGTAGTGGAGGCAAGAAAACAAAACAAAAGGCATTGGAAAGAAACAAGTAAAACTATATTTGCAGATGACCTGGTTTGTAAATAAAAATTTCTAAAATATCCAGTAAAAATCGATTAGAGCTAATAAATGAGTTCAGCAAGGTTTCGGGATACAAGACCAATATACAAAAATCAATTTTTAAACACTTGCAATAAACAATCCAAAAATGAAATTAACAGAAATCAATGTATAATATCATCAAAAAGAATTTAAAAACCTAGGTTAAATTTAATGAAAGAAGTATAAAACTTATCCTCTGAACACTACAAGACACTGGTGAAAGAAATTAAAGACCTAAATAGATGGAAAGACACCCCATATTCATGGATCAGATTATTTAATTAAGATAGCAATACTCCCCAAATTGATCTACAGATTCAACACAACCCCTGTCAACATTCCAGCTGGCTTGAGACATTAACACATTGATTCTAAAATTCATATGGAAATGTAAGAGACCCAGAATAGCCAAAATAATCTTGAAAAAGAGAAACAGAGTTGAAGGATTCATACTTCCCAATTTCAAAACTTTATTTAAAAATAAGCTATAGTAATGCAGACACTGGTACTGGCATAAGAAAAACGTATAGATCAATGGAATAGAAGTGAGAGCCCAGAAATAAACAACATTTACGGTCAATTGATTTTTTGACAATGGTACTAAGATCATTCAATGGGGAAAGGACAGTCTTTTCAACAAATGGTGCTAGGACATCCGGATAACCACATGCAAAAAATGAATTTGTACTCCTACCTCATACCATATGTGACAATCAACAACTCAGAATGGTTCAAAAGCCTAAATGTAAGAGCTAAAACTACAAAACTTGTTTTTTTGCCTTTAAAAATATATATATTTAGGGGGTACAAGTGCAATTTTGTTACATGTATAATGAAGCCTGGGTTTTTAGTGTAACCATTACCCAAGTAGTGTACACTGTACTCATTAAGTAATTTCTCATCCCTCACCCCACTCCCGGCCTCCCAGCTTTCTGAGTCTCCAGTGTCTACTATTCTATTCTCTGTACCCATGTGTACACATGATTTAGCTCCCACTTATAAGTAAGAACGTGGGGTACTTGACTTTCTGTTTCTGAGTAATTTCACTTAGGATAATGGCTTCTCGTTCCATCCATGTTGCTGCAAAAGACATGATTTCATTCCTTTTTATGGCTGAGTAGTATTCCATGGCATACACACATGCACACACACACACACACACCCCACGTTTTCTTTAACCAGTCACCCATTGAAAGACATGGTGATTCCATATCTTTGCTACTGTGAATAGTGCTGCAGTAAACATACGAGTACAGGCATCTATTTGATATAATGACTTCCTTTGGGTAGAGTCCATGGTGGGATTGCTGGATGAAATGGTAGTTTGGCAGTTCTATTTTTAGTTCTTGGAGAAATCTCTGTAATGTTTTCCATAGAGGTTGTACTAATTTACACTCCTGCCAGCAGTGGTAGGCATTCCCTTTTCCCTATATTCTCGCCTACATCTCTTGTTTTTTGACTTTTTAGTAATAGCTATTCTGACTGGTATATAAGATGGCATCTCATTGTGGTTTCAATTTGCATTTATCTGATGATTAGTGATGTTGAGCATTTTTTTCGTATGTTTGTTGGCCATTTGTATGCCTTCTTTTGAAAAATGTCTGTTCATGACCTTTGCCCACTTTTTAATGGGGTTATTTTTTTTCTTGTTGAATTATTACAAAACTCTTTAAGACATGAGCATAAATATTTTTGGATTTGGGGATGGATTCTTAGATATGACACCAAAAGTACAAGTGACCAAAGAAAAAATAACGTGAACTTCATCAAAATTAAAAACTTTCGTGCTTCAAAGAACACCATCAAGAAAGTACGAAGAGGATCCAATGAATAGGAAAAAGTATTTACAAGTCACATATTTGATAAGAAACTGGTATCTGAACATGAAAAGATGCTCAATGTCATTAGTCATTAGGGAAATTCAAATGAAAACCACAGTGAGATACCACTTCATACTCACTAGGATGACTATCATCAAAAGAATAGACAGTCACAACTATTGCTGAAAATGTGGAGAAACTGAAACCCTTATACATTGCTGGTAGGAATGTAGAATGGCACAGTCACTTGGGAAAATAGCTTGGAAATGTCTAAAAATGTTAGACATAGAGCTACCATATGACCCAGCAATTCCACTTCTAGGTATATACCCAAGAGAACTGAAAACATATGTTCACAACAGCATTGTTCATAATAGTCAAAAAGCTGAAACAGGCTGGGCACGGTGGCTCACGCCTATAATCCCAGCACTTTGGGAGGCTGAGGCAGGCAGATCACCTGAGGTCAGGAGTTTGAGACTAGCCTGGCCAACGTGGCGAAACCTCATCTCTGCCAAAAATTAGCTGGGCGTGGTGGCAGGCACCTGTAATCCCAGCTACTCTGGGAGCTGAGGCAGGAGAATCACTTGAACCTGGGAGGCAGAGGTTGCAGTGAGCCGAGATCACCCC